AGCACAAAAGCACAACTCTGCAACATACAAGTACTATAGCACAATGCTATAAGTCATCTTCCTACACATGCGATATCACATCGCTACAAGTCAAAGCCCGACATTATCGCAAAAAATGTAATGTCCCCACCTGCTACAATGTATTCTTATGTTCTATTTTTAGACAACAAACAGTTGGAATCAAAATGATAAACGCAATCTGTCAGTACACGTATTTGACACTAAATTCTCCGGCCATAAACTTCTACATCTGACGAAGACAAATTGCCGAAACGTCGTTCTAGAGGCAGATAATGATGATATTAAAGATACACAACAGCGAGGTTTGAACTATTATTATTAGATCACGGAGCCATCGACCTGCTGGTTGTAGGCCCAGGTCGTTCCAGGAGCCGATGTATCTAATTCTGATTTGTATTGTGTAATCACGTGATTTCAAACGTTCTGCCATTAGCGTGGGGTGGAATACCGAGGGTGGCAAATGAAAACATTGATTCTCGCTGGGAGACAATCTGATCACTACGTAAATAAACCGAGTCACGAGTTATGCCCCGCTGTGAGAGAAATTGTACTATATGTGAAAGATATAAGATTCTGTAGCGTTTTTAAATTAGCAGATATATCTAAACGACTGCAGTTTTTGAAATAATTTTCTATCACTATCCAAGATTATATATAAAGATTAATGTTGTTTTTAATCAAAGAAATACAGAATAGGTCTTATATCAATTGTAATAATTTTTAAAAAATCAATTTTAAATTTGTTCTTTGATTATTTCCCCTGAAATGAAGTTATTTCCCTTGAACGAAGTTATTCCCCCTTCATTTATCTGCTGACTGCGGTGGTAAAATATGTATCACAGGGGAAGCAACCTATCTATCGTGGAATCTAAATGGCCAGTTTGTGGCCGATTATAATGGGGTGGATCGCGTAATACACGCACGTGAAAATGTGTATCACAGCCAGCTCTCTGTTGATGCCCGCGGGATTTCTGGGGTTTTATTGACACGTGGTTAAGTAACTCCCAAACTTATCGATTTATTGTTTTCAGGATAGTTGAGCGGTTAGACAGTCCAGTTTGTGTGGGTGTATGTGATTAAGTAACTCCCAAAACTTATTGATTTATTGTTTTTAGGATAGTTGGGCGGTTAGAAGGGCGAGTCCGTTTGTAAGGGTGAGTCCCTTTGTGTGTGTGTAGTACTCAAACAGAAAAGTAGACGGCCTCCTGAGATAAATGTATGAGCTCGTTCATGAGAGCCGTGTGGTGAAGTAGTAGAACACACGATTATCAACCCGAGAGTTTGAATTCAAAAGATATTGAGTCGGGGGTGGGTGGGCATACAGCTGACAACATAATACCTCACTATGTCGAGTTTAGAGTAACATATAGACTCTACTTCACGTTACGGGTTTTTAAATGCATACAAAAATAAGGTGCATAATAGAACTTATTTTAAAGCTTTTGTTGTCAATGGCTGATACAGAGACTATGTGGTCAGCCATAGGTCTAACCTTATATATGCTGGGTACCTTACAGATTGTCCTTAACCTACTTGCCTTCACATAGGCGCAGTGGCGTAGCGAGGTCAGGTGTCACCCGGTGCGGCACGTAATGGTGTCACCCCCAGAGGCATAGCGACCCTTCCCGGGAACAAACTTTCAAAATTTTCGATTTGCACCCCCCCCCCCTCAAGTTTTCGATTTGCACCCTCACCCCCCCCCCCCCTCAAACTTTCGACTTGCACCCCCCCTCAAGTTTTTATCTATATATTTTGCTATTTTTTGCCTTGGTGTCACCCCCCTAAATGGTGTCACACGGTGCGGTCCGCACCCCCGCCCCCCCCCCTGCTACGCCTGTGATAGGCGTATACTCAGGCACCAAACTGAACAGTTCCGATAAGTTAACCAGCGCTCTACCACTGAACACCACGCCTATTAAAAATGTTTCACGATTTTCGAATAATTCGGCGAAAGCAGTTTATTTTCGTTACATTCTAAAGTACAACTATTAAAATAATTAAAAATTTATAAAACATTCAGACAGAAATCCTGTTCCAATTTGGGTTTACAAATTCCTGTTTTTATAACCAAAACTAAAACCACGATGTTTCTATTCTGCGGAATTTTCTTGTCTACATTTTATTTCTCCGTGTTCCTTTAGACAAATATCCCCGAAAGATGAGTGGTTTTCTTAAAAAAATAATTAACGAGAGGAGAATTACTGGATCGTTAATTGTGCCATTAATTTACATTAACATTTTAAAAGAATAAAATAAAAATAAAAAAAAATGTTAGAGGAAATAAATAATCCAATTTTTAAAAACTTAGAAATGGTGTTCAGTGATGGGTTATGGGGATCTCAGTGTTATGGGATTTAGGGATTGTATGGGAGTATCTCCACCTGCTTGTAGGCCTGGTAGTGTATGTTATATGTCCGTTAATTCTGTATGTCTGTCAATCTATCCATAGGTCTGTCTGTTTCTTTAACAAATATCCATGTGCATCTGTTCGTTTGTTAAACCAGCTTTCAGTCTGTTTAGAAGTCAGTTAATCTTTCTATACATATAACTATATATAGGTTTGTCAACATGCGACTATGTATTTCAACGTCTATAGGTCTTTGTATATACCTCTTTCGGTATGCTTGTCCGTCTGTCTGTATGTCAGTGCCGCAGCGAATATTGTATAGTTACTTCCGTTTTCGCTTTCTATATAAGTCTTCCTGTTCGACAACGTTGATATAATGCAGGTGTCTGTTAACAAGGCCAAGGTCACACCTGGCTCCATCATCAATTGTTGACGTAAGTTCCGATTATGGTCGGTCGCGTCTATTTTTAGCCCGTGCTCTACGCGTCCTATAATTTCCAATCAAGCGACGAAAACGACCCCTGACCCCCAGACACCAACCTGCGCGGGAACGACGGCGCAAGATAATTGGACGCCTGTTGCTCTCACCCCTACCACGTGATTACTACCTGACCCAGTAACCCTTAACCCCGGAAACACAACACCATATGATGATACTAAAAAAAATCGTACCCCGTGTAGAAAAAAACAACCCTAGCACTTAGTCCATCGATTAAATCAAATACCCCCCCCCCCTCCAATCATAACCCCGTTATCCATTAATTGCATCATGGAACCGTGGTCATTTAACAGACCAGGTACGCGTCGGATTTTCCCCTTCCTTTCAGGTCTCCATTAGTGCCAAGGGAAGCGATCATTCTTCCGGAAGGAAGCGAAATATTTCTATAGAAGGAAATCATCAGATAGACAGAGGCGTGTTTTCTGTGTAAATTATCGGCGGAAAGCGGGTCAGGAAAACGGAGGGGGATTGTATTATGTTGCTGGTTTGGTGGTCAGTGGGAGATGTTAGACTAATGTTGGTCAGCCAATGTGGGGGATTGGATGTTTGATTAGATGAAGATGGCGAAGACAAGCGTTATTTCATATGGGGCGAGGGTATATCTAAGTAATACATAGAGCATGATTTTTACACATAGAGAAGAGTGGAAATAGTGATGTGAAAGTATGGCAAAAATAAATGTCGAAATATGGAAATACACAATGACTAGAAACTACCGCTTTTGTTTTGTGGCAAATCATAGATGTGATATTATAGTAAAAATATTGCCAAATTCTTTTGTCAGATAAACCACAGCTTCTAAGCTAAGCCCAAACATAAAACAAGTTGAGAAGAATGGCCAAATATATATAACAGCTTAGGAAAATGTGGCTAAATGTATAAAGCAATTAAGAAAAATTTGGCCAAATATAAAAACTGCTGACACATTATGGTCAAACATAATGGGAGTTGAGCTAAATTACAACATAGAAACAACTTAGTAGAACGAACAAGGCAGTTTACAACAAACATCCCAGAACGGCTAACTTAAATAGTGACAAATCTCTGGGTTAGTTAAGTAGTGACTGGGGTCTTTTCACGTTAGGACATTGTCCTATTAGAAAGTCAACACAGGACAGTACTATTTTCAAAAACAAGGTCGACACATGACTCAGCATACACCGTGTACACACTACATGACGTCACGGACACAGCACACACTATGTACACACTACATGACGTCACTGACACAGCACACACACCTTGTACACACTACAAGACGTCACGGACACAGCACACACCGGGTACACACTACATGACGTCACTAACACAGCACACACAGGGTACTCACTACATGACGTCACTGACACAGCACACACACCTTGTACACACTACAAGACGTCACGGACACAGCACACACCGGGTACACACTACATGACGTCACTAACACAGCACACACAGGGTACTCACTACATGACGTCACTGACACAGCACACACCGTATACACACTACATGACGTCACTGACATAGCACACACCGTATACACACTACATGACGTCACTGACACAGCACACACCGGGTACACACTACATGACGTCACGGACACAGCACACACCGGGTACACACTACATGACGTCACTAACACAGCACACACAGGGTACTCACTACATGACGTCACTGACACAGCACACACACCTTGTACACACTACAAGACGTCACGGACACAGCACACACCGGGTACACACTACATGACGTCACTAACACAGCACACACAGGGTACTCACTACATGACGTCACTGACACAGCACACACACCTTGTACACACTACAAGACGTCACGGACACAGCACACACCGGGTACACACTACATGACGTCACTAACACAGCACACACAGGGTACTCACTACATGACGTCACTGACACAGCACACACCGTATACACACTACATGACGTCACTGACATAGCACACACCGTATACACACTACATGACGTCACTGACACAGCACACACCGGGTACACACTACATGACGTCACGGACACAGCACACACCGGGTACACACTACATGACGTCACTGACACAGCACACACCGTGTACACACCACATGACGTCACTGATACAGCACACACCGGGTACACACCACATGACGTCACTGACCTGCTTATCGTCCAGGTTCTCCACAGCACACTCCAGCTTGGCCACCTGGCCCGCGTCAACTGTGTAGGACGTGGGGCTGGCCAGGAACGTGGGGTGGACGCCGTGTAGCTCCAGAGCTGGGGAGAGATCACAAGAGGTCACGTGACTACAGGGGTTTAAAATTAGCATTTATAAAAACAGTATTCAAGATGAATTCGAGCAGTGTTTCTTCCAACCTTTTTTCTCCAGGGGTTGGGGGTGGACTAAATTTTCCAGGGGGGGGGGGGGGGAAAGCTGGTACTGATAAAAGTATATATTTTCTACATAAATTTCTTTTCGTTCGGAGATACCTAGAAGAAACTCTGAATTCGCGTTCATCCATAGATTGACAAAATACAATTTGAGCACAGGTTAACCCCACTTTCAATTCATGAGAGTCAAAACAAAAAACAAATAACACCCTCCCCCCCCCCCCTCGCAACAATAACGTTATCCAGTTTCACAAACCGCCAGGAATATAGAATACAATATATTATATGCTAAGCTATTGTAATACTGTTTTTCCACCACAAGTCTCAACCTCGCAATATCATTAACCCCTCCTTTACCTTTGTGTTGAATGTCGTAATGAGTTATTCCTTGTTATATCTTAAACCCCTGCCTTCCAGTGTGTTGACCATAATAATCAGCAACCACCTAGTTATGTATCTCTAACATAGAACACGTCGAAAATATCCATTATAATTATAAAGTGCGAAAAATAATTGTACTCAAATATTTGTTTTGTACCAAAATGTCACATAAAAAGTGTAAAACTTGTGACATTTTACTCTATGCACGTCAATGCTAGTAAGAAATTAATATCGAATTATTTTAAAATAATAATCAAAGAACGCTAACTATAGAAGCTGACACCACGGAACGGTTACTCTTTCAGTCTTTGACACCAAGTTTTTCCAGTGCAGCTACGATTGAATTCTTTCACTCTGTTAGTCGGTGCGGGCTATTGTTCGGCCGAGGGGCGATAACCTCACGACAAAAGCCACATGAACAAGCTCTTGAAATGGCACGATTCACAACGATTTTCCAATACATTGTGTTGTTCATTTATTCAGGGGAAATAACCGCACAATTTAGATCTATTTAATCTCATCTATCAATGCTCTTGATCTTGAAGCTCAATTCAGTTGATGTAATAAAGAGTAATGTCCCTTAGATATTTTTTTAAACCAATAATTGTGCCGTAATCGACATGGTGAGTGTGGCAAATATTGTGACGTGATTAGAGCGCATTTCTGTCATGATGGGTGAGTTTAAACTCATAATGAGTCGAGTTGATTCTGGAGGGGAAAGGGGGGTAAGGGCTTTGGTGGGGGTTAGGTGATATTTCATTGAGGGCTCGGACTAGCAGGGTGGTGTGGGGGATTTATGACAGGATGTGTGGTTGGTTTGTGGTTGTGGGGTTGTTTTGAGTTGTAGCCTGTGTCAGTAGATGTGGTTGGCTTGTGGTAGTGGGGTTGTTTTGGGTTGTAGCCTGTGTCCGTAGATGTGGTTGGCTTGTGGCAATATATTGTATTGTGGCGTGTGGTAGTAGATATCGATGGTTTGTTATAGGGCCCTTATATTGCAGGCCTGTTTTTTTTCTGCTTAGATGAAAATGACAACAACTAATGGACTCTCATTAGTCTGGAGCTATTAACCACGAACGATTACTCCGATTTAGTTTTCCACAATCCCCAATTACTTCCCTCTAAAATTATTTGTTTTCACCCCGGCAGAGTGGTGTGTAAATAATGAACGAGTTCCCTCCCCTACAGCCGTCAGATGTAAATAATCGAATGGTTGTCTGTCCTGTTTGACCGATTAAAAACCTAATTGAATAAAGTAAAATTAATCAGATAGAATTTATCCCCTTTAAATAATCCAAAAGTTAGTTAAAAGCTGGCAAAGCTAGGCTTTTGAAGAGTGTTGAAAAATATATGCGATAGACAATGCCCACTAAATCCAGCTTCTAAGCAAGAATTTTATTTAGACTTCTCTTCCAAGAGATTATATAATAATATAGTTTACCCTAGCAGTATTAAAAAATACTCTCAGTAAAAACTCAATTATATTTTTTTAATACAGCGAAATTTACTACTAAGGATAGTACGGTTTCAGAGGTTATGACTTATTTTCGCAAAACTGTGTTATTCTACAGTAATCTACAGTAAAGCCGAATTTTTAGTTTAAAAATTACTTTTATCAAACTAGGCAACCCAACACTGCCAACCTACCAGATTTTTCGCTAAATTCCCGACCATGTTGTTGGTTGGTTTTACACAGTAGAAAATGAGGTTAGATTTTGTTTTTTTTATAAAGTGTCATGTTCGTTTTGTGTTACCACAGTTAAGAAGTTGTAATGTTTTTAGGAAGCAATTTCTTTCTTTTCGCTGTACACGTGCATTACGTTTCGCCATTTAAAAGTTAACAAGTTAGACAGATGAATTAAATAAAAACTCTTTTAGACACAGTTATCGTAAATGTCAGTCCAAGTCAACTATTTTTAACATAAAGTAGAGACCAAAACACACAAATATAAAATTTAAATTTTGATTATCTCTGCTAGTATAAACACAGGAATGTTCATAAGTTCTACATAATGTGTAATTATTTGATATGAAATCACAAATAATTATTTATATGGAATTTTGATAGAGGGACGGCATGCTCGAATACTAGAGCATTTTGCTGCTAGCACGAGAGGTCTCGAGTTCGGATCTCGGTTCGGACAGTCGGACGTCCCTGAGTCCATCCAGCTCTAATGGGTAACGGACTTACATCGGGGATAATCAAAGTCTTCTGGGCATAATACTGACCACACTATCCCTTCATTTTCCGAGGTCATGAAACGTGTGATCGCAAAGGATCGCTAGGTCTTAAAGAGGCAACTTTACTTATAGTTGATAGAAATACTCATCAAATTAAAAACTTCAAACAACCTCTTTTTTCCCTCAATTATTTACAACAAAGCAATTATCACCTGAAACAATGAAACAGAACTTTATCTTAAGTATTCTGTATATAAATATTCATGAATGGTTGAAGTCAATGAACACGTTAAAAGAATTCAATGAAATTTGCAGTTTATCACACGGTATAAATCAATGTCTCGTCTCCCCTTTCAAGTTGCTAAATGAGATGTCGGCTAGAGATAGCACCCGGTTAGCACTGAGAGATATAGCATCATGCCAGCATGGAGAATATCAGCTACAGCTTCACTTGGCTTCCAGCTTTCTGGAACATTCGCGCGGTTCTTTCAAACAGAGGCACAAAGCAATCATGGCCCAGTGATCTGTTCATTTATTTTATCGTTGATCACACCTGATATCGATCTCTTAAATCTGATCGGCCGACCTGATCTATCAAATTAATGAATGACTTGTAACAGTTGGACTTTCATTTCAGTGTAAGATCTCATTATCGATTTACATTAATCGAGTGTAATTGCATCGTATACTGAATAGCCTTTGTGCACCCGATGTTTCTAGATAGCATGCAATTGAATATATATATATATATATATATATATATATATATATATATATATATATATATATATATATATATATATATGTCATTGTGTTTGTGTGCGTTTATATATAAAATGGTGTAAATATGTAGGTCATATAATGCCCATATATAGCCTATATACAGAAGTATGTATATGTGCATTTTATAATTATATGCATAAATGGGCCTATATATTATGTATGACTATAGGACCCTAGATGCGAGTATAGGAACATATTCCAACCAATCTTCGTGGAACTTTAAACTCGCCATGAGTTCCGAGAGAAAAATGGTCTCCATAGATTATCTGCTAGTAGACAGGTTCCTTGGTACCATTTCTTGAAACAAGATCTCGTATTTCAGCCCCAATGTTCGACGTCTCATTGCCCAGATCTAGTGCCATGTGACCGACCTTGGGTGCTTCCGTTATTGGTATTTATGGTATCAAGATGGCGGTCTGATGCCATTCTTCCCGCGTAATTATGTTGGTTTGTGAGGAAAAATTTGAGGTCCGAAGAGTAGTTCTGTCGTGTACAGTTCCGTCTTAGTTATCTCCCTGCTCTTGTCCTACCCAGCAACTTACTACCTCCCCTAGTGTTGACACTGTTGTTTTCTCCCTTTGACAAGGAAGGGGAAAAAAACTCTGGCATGACATCAACATTTCTAGGGAGGGCTTTAGAGAGCCCCATCTGTCCTTGTCATCGTTAAGGGCGTCCTCGTCTGTCTGGGGGTTGTGTCCTGCTCCTGCTAAGCGAGCAGACGGACATGCGCACCTCCCCCCCCCCCACCAATAGAACCACCAGACGGCAATAACGTGAAGCCTGTGGTGGGTAGGACAGAGGAAGTAAGGGGCAGTAACTCGAGGAGGACGAGACACTCAACACGACGTGAGCTTCAATAAGTGGGGTTTAATTAGATTAGATAATTCACGCAACATAGTCATTGATTTCTTTCTCCACTCACCACCAACCGCACAAAAAGACTCGCTTAAAAACGTAGTTACTCAATGGCTAGATCGGAATTTTAAAATATTTTTTTACCTAATAAAATACCCCCCCCCCAAACAATTATCTATTACATTTTATAGTAAATCGGATAATTCAATTTGAAAACACAAACGGCTCGTTTTTCTAATGTATGAATAGCTTAATTAAATTTTTTATCGATCAGATTAAATGCTGCTATTGTAATCGATCGAATTTCCGTTTTCATGAGCTCCGTGGTGCCACAGAATGTCGGAATAAATACCCGGGTGGAATGCACAAGAACCGAAAGCGAAAGTAGGTTGATGGGCCTCTCGCTCCGATACAGGCTTGCCAGATAAGACATGAAATATGCACCGACCGGGACACCGCAGCGAGTAAATATTTTAAAAGTAATACACGTACGCTCGACAGCGAGATATCGGTTTTATTATCCTGCTGTGATGGCTTACTTTTGTTCGTGTTGTATCGGTGTTTCTGATTGGTTGCTGGATGTGTATTATTTTTGCCGGTTGGCCGGTTGCCAGGCGTCTTCACACGTAATATAAACACCGGCTACTTTCACCGGATTAGTCGCAGGTTTCTGTCGAGCGCTGGCCATA